AAGGAAGGAAGGAAGGAAGGAAGGAAGGAAGGAAGGAAGGAAGGAAGGAAGGAAGGAAATGAGGAAAGAGAAGGATGGGTGGGTGGGTGGGTGGATGGATGGAAGGAAGAAAGAAGGAAATAAATGAGCAAAGAGAAGGATGGAATGATGGATGGATAGATGGAAGGAAGAAGGAGATGAGAGAAGAGAAGGATGAATGGGTGTGCGGGAGGAAGGAAGGATGGAAGGAAGAAAGAAAAACAGACTGAAATTCAGTAAAAGTGTTCACCTTAGAACCAATCGGCCTTAAAAGAAGGTTTATTTTAGGAAAGAAGGGAAGAAGGAGCCGCGTGGCCTTCAATGCCCAGAATTCCCCAGCCAGCCATTGCAACGTGACGCATTCAGACGCCATTTGTAACTGCACATGAGAACAGGGGAAAGGCTCCAACCCCGAGCAAGCCAACCCAGGCCTGCCCATCCCAGTTTGTGTCAGGTGGGAGGTGTACCACCAGTGTGCAGGATGACAATTTTGCCGTCAGCCTCTGCAAACAAACGCAACCCAGCATCTCCAGACGCGGACGGCGAAGAAGGAGGCAGCTGATCGTGACTCATCAGAACTCTGGATCCGTCACACGACGGAGGCTGGGAGCATTTGGCGCATGACTCCTGGACCAGGAGGAAGGGATAAAAAGAGAGAAACCTTCCTCCGTGGAGGCCTCGAGGCCTTGGGAAACGCCACCTTTCAAGGCCGCTGGATGCCAGGCTCACATCTCCTCCGTCTCCCGGGGTAACAACCTTGTAACCACCGGATGATCTTAATTGCTTCTGAAAAGGCAGCTAGGGCTCATGGCAGCCGCACGAGGGATCCATCCCGAGAACCTGCTGTTCTAAGATCACTTCTTGACCTCATTTTTGGCTCTTCTTGGTTGAATGGCCTTCACTTAGCTAGGGAGCCCCTTCCATAGCTTTGCCCCCAAAGGCCCAAGCCAGCATTGTTGGAAAGCAACCAGAAAGGTATTTGCAGACACAGACACACAGACACACACACAAGAGCCCCCTCCAGGAAAGAAAGCGGCGTTCCGTCTCTTCTTGCAAAAAGAGAACTAAAAAAAACCCCAAACCATGGTGAATTTCCCACAATTCTCACAGGGATGGTTAAAAAGGATGCATGTCCTTCATTCTATCTACATTCCTGTTTGTTTGTTTTCATCCTGGCTTCTCGTAGGGCGGGGGAAAGACATCTAAAGGGCCACTCGCTCAAAATAGCGGGGAAAAGGGAGGAAAAAATCTGGAAATATGAAGACTGGTGTCAGTACCATGGTAACACGACAATGCCCTTTGCAGAATATTTGCAGGCAAAACAAAAATAAAATAAAATTCAGAACAGCAAAGCATGGGCTAATATCCCTCTGCTTTTCTTCGATTTTCGTTCGAAGATCTGTGGAACTCCTTGCCCCAAGGATGTTCCTCTTTAAACCCTTCTTTCAGACACCTGACCGGCATGAAAAACAGGCTGGATTTTAGCTATCATAAGATGCTTCCAATTTCTCTCTCTTTTTGTTATACATTTATATTTCTTTTTTTTTTTAAACAAGTTTTATTGATTTTACAAACAAACAAACAAAACAAAACATCATTAAACATTAAAAACATAAAACCTCTTTCCACTGTAGATCCTTACAAGGCAGGTAACATATTGCTTTATATCACGTACTTATAATTTATCCCATTTCCATATAAACACGTAAATTCCCTTTACCAAATTCCACATTGTTTCTCTTTAATCATTATTCAATCATATTTCCTTTCTGATTTATCTGCTATCCAGTCATCAACGAATACCTTTCTATTTCTTGAATGGGGCATTTCGTTGTAAGCTATCCTTTTTCTATCCCCTCACTGCTTTCAGCACCATTTTGGAGTGGAAAGCTGGTGGGGAGGGTACCAATGTGAGAAGCCAAAGACATCCTTGGAGAGGTTTTGCAAAAGTGAGGATTTGGGTGAACCTGTCCTGAGAGTCAAAATGTTAGGATTTACAAACCAGCTTTAACGATTTAGTGTAACTAAACTTGGGGTTTGGGTTGATTTGATCACAATTAACCATAAACTAACTTAGCCATCCCCAACATTGGCCTCCATCTCTCTCTCTCTCTCAGTTTCTGGGGAGGAAAATAAGGAGGAAAAAAATTGTGCCTCTGCCTAGCAGCATCCATCGGTATTCATCTGGCTAGCATCTTGTCAGTGTGTGAGAGCGTTGAGGGCTGTTTGGAAACCGAAGTGATATTTGCTGAAAGAGACAGCAAGGAGCCTGGGCATGGCTTAGCTCAACTGTTCTGTAGTAAAGCTGCTTGGTGTTGTGAAACTAAAATTGAAACTCCTCTCCTCTGCTTGTGTTTTGCATTTGGATCAGATTTCTTTTCAGGTGAGGAGGGAGAGTAGAACTCCTTAGCATCAGAGTATGTTAATAATAATAATAATAATAATAATAATAATAATAATAATAATAATA